GATAAGTGAAAGTGAAGTAAACCTGATCAAGTTCAATTTTGATTCAACTACCCAAAGACACAAATACCTCCCAACACCTGCAGGTCAATAAATCCACTGCTGTGTCTAATCTGAACTCACAATTCCCCAAACTTTGCTTGTTCAGCGTTCGCTGCTGCTGAGTTTGAAAATGCCTTTACACCAAAAAATGTAATCAAACATATCGAATCACTTCCCTCAGAATATACTAAAGAGAAGCTCAGCACTGCTTCCGAAACTCTCACACGAAATGCTTTGAAATGGTTAAAGAAAAGAAATCATTTGAAATGTCTCACAGATACACAAAAATGACTTGCTACAAAATCGTCATTTGTATGATGCTTAATTGAAATTAAGTACAAGCCACAGAAATGTTGTTTGTAATTCTTTAAACCTACTCGAGCATTGCAACACTGCTGCAGTTGTGCTGCTATTGCCACACAAATTAGCTGCTTTACATTTTGCTATCAATTTATTTACGACCATGGCAGCATAATTCTGTCCAATGACGCTGCAATAAATCCTCTTTTGTGTGGGCACTTCAACAAGGACCGTATTGATTCTTCATTGGTGCTATGCCAGGCACGTGTACATTAACTCTGCTTGTACTTGTTTTGTTTCATTGCACTGTAGTCTGTCGTGCCTGTGAGGTGTTCCTAAAATTAGATATTACAAAGATTATTCTACTCAGTAGCATAATTTTCAACATTCTGTTAATGACTGTTATTATGTACGCTCTCCTCCACTATAATAATAGACACAGAAAACAAAACAGTCATTAAACCATTTTCTTTGTATAGGAAAAGTCATTCACAAAACAAGCAGGCAACCAGTATTTATTTATTGGCTTTTATTAAAAACGTCAGTGAGTGCCTTTCAAAAATCAGAACGCGTCATTCAAAACTAGATTTAGAACCTGAAAAGAAATAAATTAATATAAAAATTCAAAAGAAATTTGAAGAAAACATTTAAAGCGACCGTGGGCATCGGCTAGATTCAGCACAAATCCAGCAAACGTATCCATCCAGTCCAACTCTTGATTTAATTTAAAATCATTAGAAATGTATAATTCATTGACTCTTATGCAACGTTGATGTTGTTTTTGTGACACACAGTTTATTACATTATTAATCATCCATAATGTTGCATGGCAAACTTAAGAAGGTTTCACATATACTAAAAATAAACTCAGCATTTATTTTCATTATAAAACTTTAATGCGGGTTGCAATGAATAATGTTTTATAATAAAAAAAAAAACTATTATTCTGTAGTCATCCTTTTCCCCAAAAATGTTCTTTCTCTCTAAATGACATTTTAAGGTTGAAGTTACTTTATTGTCTCCCTAAATAAATAAATACATTTTTATTTATATAGTACCTTTCAAGACAGAATCACAAAGTGCTGCACATAAGATTACAAGTCATAAAAAGATTTAAAAAAGAGAAAATAAAACAGGCAAAAAATTAACCAAAGGAGAAAACTGTTTTGGATGAAAGGAACTGCTGCATGAAACCAGATATTACTAAACATCACAATAAAAACATATTAAATGGGTGCACATAAAAAAACAACATCTGAGCAAAGAAGCTGTTTGCACTGTCAACCTTAAACCGATGCAAACATGCACATCTTCATACATAAATTACAGGCACCAAAACCTCTCACTTTACATGTTTAACAGCACACATGCAATTGGTAAAAACCGCAGTTTTTTTTAAAGTGTACTTTATTGGTCCCCGTGGGGAAAATCCCTCTCTGCATTTAACCCATTCACTCAGTGAAGCAGTGGGCAGCCACTGGGCGCCCGGGGAGCAGTGTGTAGGGACGGTACCTTGCTCAGGGGTACCTCAGGGTAACTGTTCAGGGGAATCGAACCCCCAACCTTCCTATCATGGGGCCACCACTCTACCTACTGAGCTATCCCTGCCCTTATCTTATCTTGTTATTGTTATCTTGTTCTTTAATAAATGTAACTGTCAGGTGGACAGATTGTTTCCAACGATTGTGTTTAAACAGAGGAACCTTGTTCAGGATAGTCAAACAAAGATTTGTTTTCAAATATTAAACATTATCAATGTGCTGTAAACAACATGCATTATTCACCTATTCATACAAGCATTTCTTTCTGTGCCTAAGTGCTTTCTGTCAGTGCCTTGCCCAAGGATATTTGGCACGTCTATTGGAACGGCCAGGGATCAAACCACCAACCTTCCTGTTAGTAGATGACCCACAGCCACCCCACCTAAAGCACACCATCTGAAACTGATTAGGACAGATATAGCATGAAAAGGAGAAGCTGGTGTGGAGTTGGGTTGCAAAGTAGCTTGCAGATGCATAGCAACTTTAGGCAGACTAAAGCAGCTTAAACCACACTCCCAAATGGAATTTGTCACTTAAAGTTGTGTAATCTGACCCATCAGATGATATGGGCTGGCACTGGCATCAGCCCTCTTACTGTGATTTCAGCTGACTTTGTGCCTGCTTGTACGAGCATTAAGCTTGATTAAAATTCAGGTCTCCTTGTGACAGCCTCCTTGTGATTATGATGCATATCTAGTTTCATGCTTTTTCTGTTAAAAATGTATCCTCCATGCATGATTTTGAAAATGTTTCTACCAAAAATTTAATAAAAAGAAAATGATTATCATAAACAGAATGAAATGAAATTATTATTCAATTTAACAATGAAAACCTAGCTGAAATTATAATGCATCGTCGCAGTCCTTGTGGCACACGGGTTGGCAGCCCATGCAGCCTTAAAAGCATATTAACCCTGTCTGGCAGTAAGTTTAATGGATAATCCTGAGCCTCTCCACCTGCTCCCTCACTGTGTGTCTCTCTGCACGGGAGCCACAGCTAAAAGCCTCGTATATAAACGATGCTTGTTACTCTTTGGTATGTCAGCACACAGTCACATTTGATTTAGCATCTCATCCTGGAAGTAACACAAGGAGAGACTAAAGTGTTGATGAGGCGACCCAGTAGCTCAGCCCATCTCGCCAGTGCTGTTTGATTAGTGTTACATCTGCCAATGTCGGTCTAGGCAGCAAATCCCTCACTAATTTGGCAAATCTCAGGAGAATCTGCTTGTTTCCTCTGCCGGCAGTTAGACTAGCACCCATTACTTGATATGAGGAGAGACAATTTCCTCCTGTCTACATCCAGACGTCTAACAATTTAATACAAGACTGCTCATTTGCTGTGTCATGCAGCTACACAGTGGCAGAAACAGAAAGTGTCAATGTGTAAATTATTCAGCACACATTTCTTTTCCTGAAATGTATAATACATGGATGCTCGCCCCATATTCATGGACATAATAAAAACATTAAAATCAAATCCCTGACTCAGACTTAGATGTTTTATATTATTTTTCATTAAAATATTTACATCCCATTCAATGTTTCATCACTTCTGTGATGCCTCCTGCTTTGAGATATGTCTTTTCTCTCATTACAATTTTTGTTTTGGTTGAATTTACTATGAATCTGAGCTGACACAGAATAGAACCAACAACCTACAGTATCTAGCTTTGTTTTACTATCTTGGTTTCTATTTTTCTCTGTAATTTTCAAAATGTTCAAATGCAGTCTCCAAACAGTTGATTCTGTTCATCTGGACGTAGCATTTTGGGGGAGAAACGTTTTGTCACTCATCCAAGTGACTTCTTCAGTCTCAGCTGACTGCAGGTTTCCCCAAATCTTATAAACAGCACATTTGCATAATGACTGAAACCAGCCCACTGAAGGAACAATGGGCTGGGAGGTCAGTTCCTTAATCTTAATTATGCAAGTTCTCATGACCATTGATCAACAAGCACTGACCAACACCCACTGATCAAAGACCACTGATCAATGGCCATTCACAGAGAGTTGGGGAATGGCTGCAATCACAGCATTGTAAGATTTCGCCATCTTCATCTTACCATTAAGACGTTCAAATGCAGTCTTTTTACAAAGACAAAAAAAAGCTCAGTTGTACCAGTGGTAAGGTCACGCTTGGAGCTTGACACTCTGCTGTGTCTGAGTATTTCAGGGTAAAAGGATCAAGCTCCTGTGTAAATTAATATGGAGCGAGCCATAACTGCAATTTCAATGGCTACTGGGATGTGAAAACTGTGTGTGCTGTATAGAATCAACCGCCAGAGTCGATAAAACCCTGTAAAAAGTTCAGTTACTTTGCACCAAAATATAGTTTAAAAAGTTGTTGTTGTTGTTTTTTATTTCACTTGCAGGTTGAAATAAAAAAAGTGATTTCACTTGCAGGTTGGGGCAGCACGGTGGTAAGCACTGTTACCTCAAAGCAAGAAGGTCCTGGCTTCAATTCCACTATCTGGCCAAACTGTGTGGAGTTTGCATGTTCTCATTTTCGTGGGTTCTCCCGGCTTCCTCCCACAGTCCAAAGACACACTTAGTGGGGATAGGTTAATTGAAAACACTAAATTGCAACCATCCAGGGTGTACCCTGCCTCTCGCCCTAGGACAGTTGGGATAGGCTCCAGTGCGACCTGTGACCTTGAAAAGGATGGATGCAGGTTGTACTTGTACTACAGAGTGCTGACGCTATGATTGTGTGTAGCTCATCCCAGTAAACTATCAAACAACTTCTCTTTGTCGCTGCCTTACGATGCCTCTTGTTTAGATCAGGTTCACAGTGACATTGAGAAACGTGCAGCGAAAAGTTTTTGTTTGCTAGTTTAGAACAAGTGATTTAACCCTCTGTGGTCTAAGTAACCTTGTGTGCTAATTCTAACCCTCTGCATATTGGAGGAGCAGACTTTTTTTATAACATCCACTGCACCAGAAACAGTTGGTGCATGGGATGACAAGGGTCTTCTCAAACCTATAGTTGTTAGGCATCAATCTTTGTTCACTGTCCACACAGATTCCCATTTTATGAAGGGGTAATTAGTAAATGTCAGGAAAACTTCCTAAAGTTTTCCTATTCGTTCTTGTGTGTGTGTGTGTTGGTGTATTGCAGAGCCCTACAGCCCAGCGGTGTGGGTGATGATGTTTGTGATGTGCCTGTCGGTCGTGGCTGTCACCGTCTTCATCTTTGAGTTCTTCAGCCCCGTGGGATACAACCGCAGCCTGCAGAGTGCTAAGAGTAAGTGACGGAGTTGCTCCAGTGTCTGCACGCCAATCAACCCACCACCACTGCTCATTTCACAACATTATTACCAACTTGTCACTTTGTCAGTTATGTAAGCGAGGGGGGGCTGATTTGAGGAGGGTGTTTGTCCAAATTATTATAATTAAGCGTTCCGCTTTTTTTTGACTTCACAGGATTCAAAACAATCACTTCACACCCACAATGTGGCTTATTTAATAATAATGAAACAAACACGGACTGCGTGGTGGTGGTTGATGTTGACGTCTTTACAGTACTTGTCACTTCACCATTATTGCAACTATTTACTGTGTGCGTCTCTGCCCCGACACATTTATTTTTAATTATAACCTGGAAAAGTTGTTCTTTATGTTTTAATAAACTGACACAAGTAGAAGTGAACTCATTTTATGTGACAGGTAGATGTCTGTGCACGCTCGTCATTTTTCTTTCTTCTGTATCAAACCGCTTCAACTTTCATCTCTCTTTATAAGCATGTTTAAATCTTATTCTTATCTTATTATATAATTGTTTCTATAGTTTATATCCTCACAAAAGTTGAATAAGCTAAAGTTTAAAGGTCTACTTACCAGTTTTTGGCAGTTGCATCTCTGTCGTCCTCTTTTTTTCCAACATTTCCAGGGTGTCAAATACTAGTGTTGTGTCAGAAGCTGCCAGCTTCCCAGAAATACAAAACCTTGAGACACTGACCATTGCAATGGTATATAGTATAATACGGACTATATAGCAGTCCTTTTTTTTCCAAGAGCATAAAGCTCATGGAAGGGTTTGGTAGCTAGAAGATGGTCCACTTTGGGATCTTTTAACATGCTTTCCCTTGCTACTTGGTCAGAGTTAATCACCAGATTTAGGAAAATATTATGGTCCCTACACATTAAACATTTAAAAGTACTGTTTGAGTTTAAAAAGGGTCTATATGTGATGAGTTCCCAACTTGTGCTCACACTTCAGTGGCTTTGACAAAATAGCAACATATTATCCATTCTATGACTTAAATACGTCAAATTAACTTCCACTTCACTCAAATATAATACACTTTAAAGTGTAAAGACACTATAAAGTGCCTTGTGTGCTTAATTTGTGCACTCATTACTTGAAGAAAAGGTACTTCAGATACTTCAAAGTAATCCTCCCACATATCTGCACCATATCTACATGCTGACTGTGTTTCCATAAACGTGCAGCTTCACCTTTAATGTTGAACAATGAGCTATAGTCAGTGTCTTTTTGTTCTTTTATTTCTCATCCTTCTGAGACTTCACAGCATAGTGATTCACAGCGTAATGACCTTACATTCAACACCAGGGTGTCTGCTGCCAGGTTTAATAACTTTAAATAAGTCCTCTTCTCAGTTACGTCTGTTTGAACTTTCAACATGAGACATTTCTTAGATCACTGCAGGGCAGCTGGTCCATACAATCACTGCAATTTAATGCATGTTAATGTTGTTAATGTTGACGTTCTGTATTGTCATAGCAACAGCATCCACATGTCTAATTTCTACTTTAATTTCAAAGTCTGGGCTCTGTCCCTGTATTTCCAATTAAAAGTCTTAAAGCAACAGTGGACTGTGACTATTCAGATAACAACGTGCTTCTGTTCGCTAGCATTACCTGATTTCAGGCAGACTTGCAAATATTTCATTCACAATGTCACCAAGGCCACACAGTTATGCGCTGCTCTTTTATGGCGGTTAACCAAACTATTATAAAACCGACTAGTTTTTGTCTTTGAAGCATCTTGGAATTATTTTTTCAGAGTACAGAATACTTTCAATAGTGTTCTGTAACTTTTGAAATACTTTTCATATACGTTTTATATAAAACTGTTTCTTCTGCATCTCATTGTCTTGAAAATTCCTGTTGGATCAGTCCTGCCCCACAGAACCTCCACTACGTGTTACCTGTTGGCTTTGCTTTCTGTGAAACCACAAAAGACTAAATTTTACCCAGAATCATGAACCCGGACCTGGAACCTGGACCTCAGCAATGATCTTAAGTGACTAAAAGGAAATCTTTATGAATGAGTGAAAATATGGGAAATATTTCTACTACTATTACCATTGCTAGTAGTAGTTATAGAGGATGATAGTACATGCTATAGAATATTTCCTCTGTGGCAGCGCTGCTGAATCAGCCTGTTAGAGATGGTGCACCACTGCCTGCCAGTAAATGGTGCAAAGGGTACTCAGGATTATCCATCATGGATAACAGTTCAGTGGCCTTCTCCATATGGATGTGAGCAACATGTCACAAATCTTAATTTCTTTGTTGCTACTCAAAGAGTGATGCGTTTCTTCCTAAGAGCATAAATTTGGATATTTAAGTCATCTCTTAATATTTCTTTGAAAATAGTTTTTTTTTCCCCAACTCTGGCCATAATTCATCACCCAACACAATTTCCAGTAATGTCTTAAACAGGTATTACTTTCCTTCATAAACACACTGTCTGTCTGTCTGTTTCTCAGAGTCAGGGGGATCTAAGTTCACCATAGGGAAATCTGTCTGGCTGCTCTGGGCTCTGGTCTTCAATAACTCTGTGCCTGTGGAGAATCCCAGAGGAACCACCAGCAAGATCATGGTAAATTTAGTTGAATGGCTGTGTTTTTTATTTATTTATTCATTTTTTTATTTATTAATTGTGTGAATGACTCATCAAACTAGAGCATCAATTACAGTCAACTCCAGGTTCAGTATTTATTGGTCAAAGATGCAATTTTAACCATTTTAATTGTTTTAATAGCAAAAACTTTAGCACTTTTCGAATCAATCATTTGGGACAATTCTTTAAAAAAAATCCACTGACCAGCTCAGTAGGAGCAAACAGCTGGAATGACCACAGAAGAGCAATAAAATTCATGTCCATTAAATTTGTTCCATGTTTAAGAAAAATAGCTTCATAGCAAGAACATTCTCGAGGAGTAAGTTTTATCATCATCACGGTCTACAATGAGCTTCATATAATACAGAGGACTTACAACCAAGTGGAGTAGCACAGTTTTGCAGTGGTTGCCTCACAGCGAGAACGTCCTGGATTTGAATTCATGTTCTCCTCATACTTGGGTGGGTTTTCTCTGAGAGCTCCAGTTTTCTCCACATTACAAAGTTTGAGCTACTTGGCAATTCTAAATTAGTCATAGGTGTGAATGTGTCAGTGGTTGTTTATGTCTCTGTACATGGACTGCCAATCTGTCCAGGGTGTACCTGTGTGACAGCTGGGCTAGATTCCAGATCCTGAACTGGGTATGCAGAAGACAATTGATGGATACAACAATGTATAAATCACTAGTTACGCACAGGAACAAGAAGACCAGATTGCACTTTGCCAGAAAACACATAAAAGAGCCTGCAGAGTTCTGGAAAAGATTCTTTGGACAGATGAACCCACGATTAGAGATCAGAAAGGAAAGTAAGGAGAGAAAGAGCTCATGAGCCAAAACATAGCACGTCATCTGTCAGACACAGTGGAGGGAATGTTGTGCTGTTAGTCTTTATTGGCTGTAACTGCTAATAAAAGTAGCAGGATGAATTCTGAAGTGTACAGAGTTGTACTCCAAATGCTGGCAAACAGTGCAAATGGATAGTGAACCAAAGCATACTGGGAAAAGGAACCCAAGAGTTTCTTAAGGCAATGGAATGTGAGATGAGAAATCGGATTATAACCAAAGCGCTTAACCCTATTCAGTTTTATAAAACCAAAGGCCGACAGAGAAAGAGCAACTGAAGGTGAGTGCAGGGAAGGTCTTTACTGCAGCCACCCTCAGGAGGTAACACAGTGTTTGGAGATCGCCACAGGTTCTAAACTTTAGTGCGTCATTGAATAAAAAGGATTTTCATACTTGATTTTCATTAAGTATTAAAAACAATCATTTTTACTTAAAGTGATGTTAATTTGTGGTGGTCTACAGAAGCAAAATTATAAAACTTCTATCTATTAACAAGCCTAAATTAACAATTTTTGAGTCAAAAGTAGTTCAACTTTCAAATGACTACATTCTCACCATCAAGCGGATACCTGTGTGACATTAAACTGTAGTCATTAAAAATGTCATGTTTCAGTGTAATCTAGGTGTCTACAAGACAATTATTTAACAGACTGTTTAGTCACTTGTTTCACTGTGGTGGTCCTTTCAGTACCTGCTGTTACTTTGGGCTTGCAATCTCTAATGCAGAGTAAAGCCACAGGAGGGGAAAACTCGAGGTGTATTTTGTTCGACTGCTTGCCCAAGTGCTTTTCAACAAAACCCCAATCATCTTAAGAGCTCATTAGCTGCTTGATAGGCTTCACAAAAGGGGGTTAGAGCAGAGAAGATGATTATTCAACATCGTATGTGTGCTTTTTTTTTTAACCTGGATTGTTAGTTGTATTTCAGCCTGCAGGTAAGAGTTATTAGTGGTTTTCTTGCCCATCGAACCATTTCCCATGTTCAATTTAAGATTAAAAAATCCACTGAAGAGAAAACTGTATATTTAAGGTTCCCCTTTAGCAGCACCAGCACTCTGTATCTGATATTTTTTTGACACATTTGTCAGCCAAAATATTCCACGAGGCAACCACGTCTAATTAAAAAGAAAAAAGAAAGAATGATTACAAGATAAATCCAATTTTAATGGAGGTTTATTTGCCAAATGACTTCCACTTCATTTTTCATACCTGCCTAAGCCTATTCAGGGTTATCAGTAAGTACCCCACTATGCGCTGGAAGGATAATTGTCAACCATTTATTATTGATATTAACCATTTAAACAGATTTTACATCAGTCCACAGGTCGATAACTTCCCAAGCAGTCCGTCGTTCAAGCCTCCACTGAGGAGTTTTATTTTTTAATTATGCTGATTTGCCACAGTTAGTAGGGGTGTGCATTTACTATCTTAATCACTAAGAAAATTATGCAAATTAACTTTTGGCATAAACAGAGTACTGTGGAAACAAATAGTCCTATTCACCACAGTGCAAATTTATTGCTCCGGCTAATCCACATCTCTGCTTCCTGGCTGAATGTCAGCATTCAACCATCTTATAGCAATAAAAGCAGCTCTTCTGTACGGCTAAATGTCTCCATCCCGAATTGCCTAAAAAACCTTTTGAAGAATCATATTAATTTGCTAAAGTAATTTGGGGTAGTTAATATATTTTGATTCCTTACTCAGACAGCAATACTACAATGTGAAAACAGCCATTATCTGGTGAAAATCTAGCGTTTAAATAATAAACAAACTGAAATATTAACCTCACTTGTTGCAGTTCTCTCATAAAAGTCATAATCTTTATCTGATTTAATGTGGCGTTCTTGCTCGTTAAGGGCTTCACTTCATGAAAACATACACACACACACACACACACACACACAAACTAACCCGATGCGACACCTTTAGGCCATGACAAACACTGCAAACTCTTCCTCTGAAGGCTGTTGTTTGGTTGTCGCTGGATTGTCGCTGAATATGATACCCAGTCATATTTTCCCCACTAGTGATCCCCACAGTCATCAGGAGGAAATTTGCATCAGTTTGGCACAGAAGTTGATTACTCTTTAAGTAAACATCAAGAAGAAGAAGAACTCCTGAAGAAGACGGTGGCATTGACGTGCCAAAATAGGACCTCCAAGGAGCAATCTAAAAACTGCAGTGGTGCTGGAAGCACTCCAGAGGGGCGCAAATATGTAACCTTGAAGGAGTGCTTCAAGGTGATTTCAAATTTAAATGCAGTGGGGGTTTTTCTTCCTTTTTTAACAATTTTCGATTTCTCACCTTATGTTTGCGTTTCTCCAAAAACTATTAAAACAAATCAGTCAGCCACAGTTTTGTACTTGAGTCTCCAGGCCGTTCTCTAATCTGTCTTCTTCTTCAAATGGCAGTTTGTTTTTTTTATTTGTGCTGCAAAAGATAATCCACTTTGTTTATGCTGAATACATTTGAACACTTCTTTAACAATAAAATATTAATTTCTGCCAACGAGTATCTGTGCAAGAAAAGCAAGATTATGTAGCAAATAACCAATCAAATAGCTATAGGCTAACAGGCAATCAGCCCAAGCCTGGAATAAATTTGCACCATCTGTTTTCTGAGCTAAAGGCTATGTGAATGAAATAGCAGTTCAACTGCTTGAATGATGAAGGATGTAGCGCTTGAAGCTTGAATTATACAAAGCACTAAACATAACATATGTCACCAAGTTTCCCTCCTTTGTGGAGATGCAATATTAAATAACTTTTACACAATATATTTTTTTATTTGAAAAATACCTTTTAAATATAATTAATTACTTAAATCATGTATTTCAAAATTGTGCTTACATACTTAACCAAGTGCTTTGATTCAACTAGCATATTTGCATCAATGGTCCTAAATGAATTTTAAGGTGGGCAGAAGGTATTTTTATATCCACTCTGATGGACGTGATGATGTAAGGAGTGTATTGCATGAAAAAGGGGATTTTCTTTCTTCCCATATTTAAAAATATGCAACTAGTTTAATATTATTTACAATTTAAGTTCATTTAATTGTGCGACAGATTCCTGGGTTGCAGCTTTAGGAGGCAGAAATGCCACGGTGGAAAGTATGAACCGGCCCTCCAGGCAAGACAGAGTTTCAGAGCTGTGAGTTTAGCGATGAAATGCCAGGGAGTGGAAATAGAGTCACCGGGATCCTAAAATACTTTCACACCTGTCAGGCTCAGTCCTCATTGATCTTACTCCACCACGTTCTACCTTCAGGTGCTGGTGTGGGCCTTTTTCGCTGTCATCTTCCTGGCCTCCTACACTGCCAACCTGGCTGCCTTCATGATCCAGGAGGAGTACATTGACACGGTGTCAGGGCTGTCAGATAAGAAGGTATGATATGGATGGATGGATGGATGGATGGATAAGTGATTTACAAACAGGTGAATAGTCATATGATGGACTGAATGGTTAGCAAGAAATTCCACATATTTGATATTGAGAGAATCATGGGTATTTTACCTGATTTAAAACTTACAACACCAAAGTCTCCCAGACTCAGGGTCATCTTTCAAAATAAATACAACCCTGTTTCCAAAAACATGGATTGCTGTGTACAATGAAAAATAAATGAATAGAGAGAGATGCTAACACGTTCTCCGGGTCAAAGGTCATTTTGGGTGGAATAAAGAAGCAGGGAGAAGCCGGAATCTCTTCACTGGGATCACAAATCCAAATTTTAATTCATCTTTGCACATCACAGAGAGTATATCACCCGTCTGTTATCGCCACAGACTAAAAGAAGCTACAGTTCCCTCCCCCTCATACCTTCAGCAAACCAACATCTTTTTGGAATCGGGGTTGTAAATACGATTATGCCACAAATATTGCACTCTCTCATGTCTGCCTTTAAGAGAGCACATCAGAATAGCTTAAGTTAACAGAAGTGGAAAACTGTGTACTTTCCTTTTTTTATTATTTAGATTTTTCCAGGTTTCACCACAACTCACAAAACTGTGTCCCGCTGCTTTGACACTTTAAAACCTCATCTGTTTTATCAGTCTCTCTCTGCTTCTGAGCTCTTTAGAAAAGTGTAGCACAGGGGCTCTTCTTTGAAAGTGAAGTCTTTGAATCTTTGCAGCTCTTCATCCCGCAGCACGGATCGGCTCCTCTCCCTCATTTCAGCTACCACTCTTTAACTTCCGTCCTTCCTCCTGTCACTTTAATCTCAGCCCACCTCCTCTTCTTCTTCTTGTGCAGTTTCAGCAGCCAGCAGACCAGTACCCACCACTGCGTTTCGGCACGGTGCCAAATGGCAGCACTGAGGAGAACATCCGCTCCAACTATCCCAACATGCACCAGTATATGATTCGCAACAACCAGAAGGGTGTAGAGGAAGCCATTGACAACCTCAAGACTGGGTAAGGATAGAAGAACTATTAGCAACCACTTGGAGTGTGGATTGAGTGTGGATTTGTCATGTGAAATAGAAGAAATTAAAGCCTACGTGTTCGGTTAGATACGAACAGAACAATATTGGAAGTAGATCGGGACTTGGAAGAGCATGAAGTAAAAAATGTCAGATATTGTTACAACCGAACGCAACCACACTCTGCCTGCACTAGACATCTCATTTCTACAAATACACTCTTTTAAACAGCACCCAGATTCAAGTTAAAGCTGCACATTTTTGACAACAGCACTTACTTTAAACAGATACCGTGCCATCTCCCCTGGTTTTTATATATCTTTTATTTTTAACTTGAGGCGGTGTTGTCGTCCACGCTCGGTTCAATTACAGGAGCCGTTTTTGCCTGACTCACCCTGTTAGCGCATTGATCTGCCTTGCCTCGGGAGCCACAGCAAACTGTTGTAACCTGTGCAGCCCCATCAGGATCATGGCTACTAAATGCAGTTGGAGAAGAGGTGTGGAGGGCTGGAAACTTTTAAATAATACATGCTAGCAGCAACCGCAGTGCGGTAGGAAAATTGCGCCATCTCAGCACTGGCTGACACTCGGGCGCCTCTTGTCTTCAACGGGGGTGGGGGGGTTTATTATACGCCTGTGGGACTACAAAGTACACAAAGCACTTTCCATAAAATATACACTCGCTCATTGCGTTTGATGTGGAAGCGGGCGAGGTGGAGGGGAAAGGGGGGAGTGATGCAGATTAGGGTTCAAATGTTTAATGGGACAAGCAAGCACACACACACAAGCCAGCAAGTAGCGGGCACAGTCTTTAGTAGATTTGACGTAGCGTGTTATTAAAACACAACGATGCATTCCTTTTTATCATACTCACTTGTCCTTCTTGCCCCTCTTACATTAATTTTCCACCTCTCTCTCTATCTCACTTCAATCAGTCTGTCCGTCGTCTCTTTCATTACACACTGTTTATCTACCTCTTCCTTATCCTTCCCTCTCATCCTGACATTATAAACAAAGGAAATATCCGTCGAGGCAAAGTGATATGAAGATTTCTGTTTGATTTGCCTGCCATGGCACTGAGCACCGCCTCTCCATCTCATCTTTTCTCCTCCTGTGCTTTCCTTTTCTTCTCATGATGATTTTTTTTCTGTCCTTTGACTGGTCTATTCCTCCCTCTCTCATTAACTCCTTGCTCCCAGTTCATCAACTCCTGTATGCTTCCTTTGCCACCCAATAATAATATCTGAACTTCCCTTTTCTCTCCTTTTGCTGTCAGCCACCTCCTCCCCTCCTGCTTTGTGTACCCTCTTCGTCACCTTTTTTTTTAAAAAATCTTCCACCCTTCAACTGAGTGCTTTCCCCCCAGTAACAATTTCGTGGATCTGTGCAGCTCCCTGAGTGTGAATATAAATGAATGTGAAGTAGAAGAGCAGGTGTAGTGACAAATCTATCATCCGCTTCTCAGATGTACATCACCAGTGTGAGCTGAGCTGTTACATTTAATCCATTACTTGATGATGAACTGTTGTAATTCACTTTTGATGTATATCCATTTTGCACTGCTTCTACTCCAGTAGCAGATTTCAAATGATTCATTTTTTCCCTATACTTTAATCTTGAGATTTTTTTTCTTTTTAATTATTACTGTTACTACTGGATCACTGGAGAAGATTCTTCCTGGAGTAATTTATATTTGGTGGTATGTCTCTGCCCTTGCATGTGCACAGATAGAAAGCCTGAGGTGAGAGAGCAGCATGCAGAAACAATCTGGCATCAGTGAGAAGTGATATAACAGTGATCAAATGAGATGTGGCATTAAAAGAAGAAGCTAGGACGGAGCTGGGTTTCAGATGTGCAGAAACCACGGGGAGGCTCGCTGTTATCAGCCGGTCTGTGAGGATTACAGTCTGAGCTTCAGTTCTTGTCTTGCCTGAATTAATGCTAGTCTCAATCTTTTAGATTATTATAACTAAGAATTTCCTCATTTTCCCAAAGAGTGAAACCACAGGCTGTGTAATTATCACACCATATGATGTAGTGTGTGAATTTAGGAAACCCTCCCATGACACCCTGGGAGTTGCAGTTTTGAGAATGGCACTTGGTCAGTTTCTAATTCCTAAGATATGTACAGCTGGATAATGTTGCAAAGAAAAAATGCATATAAATGCAACTGCATCACAGAAAACTCCTTATATCTGCAACATGATTCAGATATGAACCACATTATCCAAAGTAGCTACAAAACCACTGCTGTAGAAAATGAATTAAAGCTGGTTTGATTGATTGGTAATTTATTTCAACATGTGAACAATATACATTTAGAAGAGAAAAATAAGAGAGAAAAAAAAATACTATACAAAATACATACAAAAAACGTTCTGATTAATTTAGATGTTGAAAGGGAGTGGGAAGAAGTACACACTTATTTAATCCCAAAACTTTGCCATAAATTATCAGTTAATATCTAGTCAGCTTCCTTACTGATATAATTTGTAATAAAAATAGTGAAGAGATTTCTGATATACTATATACTATAATATCACATCATGATTATTTTTATTTTTTTTAAATAGAGATATTCAGCTGTGGGTAGTGACCGAAAGAACGAGATCGCGGATACAAGCGGCAGAAATGAGCTTCCTCCGAAGGGTGGCTGGCCTCTCCCTTAGAGATAGGGTGAGAAGTTCGGCCATCCGGGAGGGGCTCAGAGTAGAGCAGGTGGTCCTCCACATCGAAAGGAGTCAGCTGTGGTGGTTCGGGCATCTGACAAGGATGCCTCCTGGGCGCCTCCTGGGTGAGGTGTTCCGGGCATGTCCCACCGGGAGGAGGCCCCGGGGCAATGTTTGGACTTTGCTTTAATTCCATATTCAGACTGTTCCACAGTTTCACTCCATGAACAGAAACACAAAAGCCTTTTCTTGTAGTACGTACCTTCCCTGTTTTGAAGTTACAAAAACCCCTTAAATTATAACTTCCTTCTTTCAAAAAAAAACAACACTCTGAATATTACCTGGCAGTTCTTTATTTTTTGCTTTGAATAGAATTTGTGCTGTTTGGAATTTCACTAGATTGTCAATTTTCAATATTTCAGACTGCAAAAATAGTGAGTTTGTATGTTCCTATAACCTGCATTGTGGATGATTCGAATTGCTTTTTTTGAAGAGTAAAAAGTGAATGTAATGTGGTTTTATAGTAATTGCCCCAGACCTCTGCACAATAGCTTAAGTATGGTGAAACCAGTGAACAGTATAGAATATGAAGTGATGTTCTGTCGAATACCTGTTTTGCCTTGTTTAGTACTGCAATGCTACGTGATACTTTGGAATGAATATATCTTACGTGAGCTCTATTATTACCCCCAGAAATTTATTTTCACTGACTCTTTCAATATCAACACCATTTATTTGAATCTTTGCATTTGTATTTAAACTACTATTTCCAAATAACATAAGTTTAGATTTATTCAAATCTAATGATACTTTGTTTTTATCAAACCAGAACTTCACTTTAGTTTTTTCATTTGATTGATTGAATATGTGTGATAACAGATCGTTTTTCACACACATCACCAATGAAACACCTTCCTCTACCTTCTGCCAGGCGCAGTAGGCTGTTATTCATTGTAATAAATGTAAAAGTATCTTTATTTTAAACCGTTATCTTCTCCTGAACATTACCAACTACCTTTTGAGCTTAAAAAGAAATCAAAGACCTTACAACGTAACAAAGGAAATGTCCAAAAGATGCTTTTACTGCTGTTTTAACCTAGAAACACACCTCGGGTCGCTGCTGTTCAGCAGGGTGAAACTACCACCACTAAGAGGTGCTGCTAGGGACTGATAACAACATATAATGGGCATTTGATGGGCTGATAAGATTTGAAACAGGTGGGTATGACTAATGCAGTCCAACAGCTTTGATAACAGCCTTTACATAACACATTTACAGACTGATCTGCCGTAAGATGAATTTCCTAGTTAGCTTTAAATATCATCATTCACAGTGATTTATGGTTTATTTCTTTTTCAGTTAGATTAAATATTGTCGCAATATACTAAGCCTTACCCAGTCATGTGGTGACTTTGAAAGAAACAAGGCTTTTGTAAACTTCCTGAACATTTATGTAAAAAAAACTGCATTTTTTTGAGTAGCTGCAGTCAGAAATTACAACAACTGTTTGAATTTTTCCTTCTGAGCAAAAGTGAATTTCACATCCTTTGCTTAAATTACCCCCTCCCCTGTCGCTGCATTCAATTATGCTCTATTCAAGCTATTGTAGGAGGAGAATTGGCATCTCTTCCTCCATTTATGAATGTTTCACTGTGTGATTGTTGAAAGTTGGTGAAAAGCTGTTTAGAAAGAGCCCTCTGTTTGCTGATGTCTTTGTAGGGACATTGTCTCACTGCTGGTTTGTCCATCATATCTTGTCATTTTGTTCTCTAGTTGCTTTTGTCATTTAGATCCAGGTCAGTGATTTCCATTGCTTTATTGTAATTTTCCTCCTTCATTTCTCCCCTGCAGAAAACTAGATGCCTTCATTTATGATGCTGCAGTGTTGAACTACATGGCCAGGAAGGACGAGGGCTGCAAGGTAGGAAATGCATCTGTGCACAGTGATTTCACACCTCTGCACAGTGACACTTTCGTGCATACGGGCAACCATTGCTCAAGTTTCTTTGTCCTATTACCATGTGCAAAAAAACAAAACAAAAAACATAACAAGCATGCTAAATGAGCACTTGTACAAGATGTACATCTGCATTAAATAAATCAAACACACCCAATGCATTTATATTTCCCCCTTGCGGCCTGTAGCTAGTTAATATTGTCATTTCTGGTTGGCACTGGTGTTGATTTATTTATAAGTTTGAGTTTGATACGGCTCCCACAGAAAGAATGAAAATCCTTCCTGGTGATCATTTATAATAAGGTCTGTGGGAGGCCTGAGCTCCCAGCAGCCTCATAGAACAGCCACTGCTGCAGTAATTATTACAACTGATGTGGATCTATATTAATTCCTCCACTGAAACAATATCCCACACTCTGGGATGTCGATATTAGAGCTCAGCCAACTGAATTTATGTGACCGTGACAGTACACAAAGAAATTACAGTTAAAATGAAACTAATTTATCTTTTGCTCATTGCCATCTGCGTCTTCATATCTGGCTCTCTGTGAATTAATGTGTTTGTGTGTATACGTGGATTTATGGACCTTTATGTGTTTAATTCAAAAAGGTTATGACCATCGGCTCTGGTAAGGTGTTTGCCACTACGGGTTACGGTATTGCACTGCACAAGAATTCCCGCTGGAAACGCCCACTGGACCTGGCTCTGCTGCAGTTAGTTGGAGATGGTAAGTTAAAAAGGGACCAGAAAGCAACACGTAAGATGCGCTAGCAGGAAGGACGAAGGAGAGAACAAGAAGCACATAGTTAATGCTCATCTTACCAACTTGAAAACCCCAATAAGTAATAATAAAAGAAAAAAATAGCATAAAGCCAATCACAACCTGGTTGTGTCCTTCACCTGCTCCGGGGCCTCCTCTTGACAGGAGGAGCCCAAAACACCTCACCTAGAAGTTGCCCAGGAAGCATCCTAGTCAGATGCCGGTACCACCTCCAGTGGTTCCTTTCTGAGTCCATTCCAAATCACCATCTCATCACGTATCGCTAAAGGAGTCCAGACACACTTCAGAGGAAGCCCAGTTCTGCTTATCCACGATACCTTTACCACAAATAAAGTTAGGAAAGTAGATCAACCTATAAACAGAGTCATCTATTTCTTGACCACAACAGACCGGTAAAGAGTCCACATTACTGCAGATGCCACTTCAGTATGTTTGTCAATCTCTCCCTCTCACTCATGAACAAACTTAAACTCCTCTATCCGTTTCCAGCTGGGAACCATGGCCTCAGACTTGGAGGAGCTAATTGTCTCCCAGTGCAAGCTGGACGAAATGACTCAATGAAGTCATGATCTCCAGAACAGAACCTGAAATCTGAGACCATTGAACTGATACCCCCACCCACTGGGTGTGCCTGGACATTCTGTCCATAAATATTTTAAGCAGAATTGATGACAAAGGGACGGCCTGCCTGCGCAGTCTGACTTTTGTCTGCTGATACGAACCAAGCTCTCACTAGGGTTGTTTCAGAAAGAGCTAAAAGCGACTGAAGCTAGTCAGACACTTCAGGCACTGATAACACCCAATTTGCCTCATGCTTTGCTCCTGTTGGCCTGTAACAGGAGGAGGAACAGTTACTACCTTGCTGTCTATATTTCAGGAGCAAAGGTAATACTTTTGTCAAGTAGGTCTTCCAGCTGAGCATTAGACAGTCACATCAGGAGGTAGAGTTTTCCTGTCTCCTAGGAGAGTCATTGCTGCTCAGACTGGGGCTCTTTTTATATACAGCATGAGCATCACATGCACCAGCTCTCAGGTGCACAGTCACATTCCCAACATTTGGATTACTGGGAAGTTCCTCATGTATATGATGAAGGTAATACTTTTTTTAAATGATTGACAGAGTTTTATTATTGTCACGTTATGTTGTATTTTACTTTAATTTTAGACTCATAGAATATATTAATTGAACAGATAGTTTAATTTATTAAAACTGTGTAGGGAGAAGTGGATCCTTCAGACCGGGATCCTCTGAGACCCCAAACCATTGTTCCTAAAAAAAAAAGCACCAAATTAAAGTATGAACAGAAAATAGTAATGTCAAATCATTAGCAACAACGTGACAAAGTCATAAAATATTGAAATGTAAAAAAAGTTCTGTGAGATCTTTGAGAGGTCTGTTCAACAAACAATGGTTAAAGGAGACCAATCACACCTTGGATTTGTATTTAAACTACTATTTCCTGGATTCTCATGCTAAACAGGGCCAAACTTTTAAGTAATGAGGTCAGTGTATCTATATGGTATAAGTAGCTGAAATGGCAGTGAATCAAAATCTACTCTAAACTCTGTGTTTCAGCCAGTTTTTGTTCCACTCTTGGCTCTGTATGATGTTAGTTCTTACTAAGAGCATGGAGGTCCCAGTCATCTGCTGTTGAAATCTTCTGTTGAGCAGAGCTAACTCATCAGACAACTGGATTAAACATACAGTCTCCTCAAAGCTAAACAGTGGATTTCAGTCAGTGGATATTATATATATATACCTAATAAGGATTATGCTGAGCTACATGTCATGCAAAGCTACTCTGTTACAGCTCAGTTAGCTTATTAAGTTACTTGATTTCGATCGCCATTGTTGGTCGCCATTTTCTTTGCACTCCCACCGCATTTCATGTAATCTCCTTACTGCCCACCAGCAAACAGCACATTCAAAGGAAGAGTAGTCACATGTCCAAAACATTTATTACATTCATGTCTGTATTCATGACTGCAGTACTGAGGACTATATTAATTTTCCTTTTTAAATGATCCTTTCATTAATGCGTCCTAATTACTGTGCTAATTACTACAGAAGTAAAAGGTAATTCTGATACGCTACTTATGCCGTTTGTCCCTCTTACACCATAACCGCTCCACAAACCAAGACATGTCAAAAGCTTTGATTGAGAATTACTAAGGAATCTGCTCATTAGACCCCAAAATATGGAGTTAGCACCCAAGGTCACCAAGTTATGCGCCTCTGTAAACAAAATCAAAAACCTTGCAGAATCTAAACATGCTGTTCAACCTCACTGACATGGGTCGATTGGGAAGGTGGCAACACTTTTGGTGAAAATGCAGCTAAAACTTACATTTTTAGGGTAACAGCAGGTTGACCAGGAGTCCTCTTTATGAAGATTATCCAAGTTTTATACATTTTAAAAATGGCTGGGTCATGATGTTCAGGAAGAGCGTGTACTGGAGAAAAAGGTTTTATTTATTTATTTAGTTATTTTTTTTAATGTTTCTAGTTCTTTAATTCCACTGCAAATGAATAATGATCAAAAAGTTTACACAGGTTTTGTGGTGATGGTTGAGTGTTATAGGAGGATAAAGTTTAAAGCTGGGGGTGAGGAAGAGAAAAGAGGGATGTGGATGGAGAAAGGTGTGATAGGTGAGGGTCAGTAGAGAAATTAAAGAGGTGGTGGTTGTGAGAGAGAGGAAGATCAATAGAGAAGGTCAGAGGGAGGAGGAGCAGAGAGGAAGAGGGAGGGTCGTGTGATCTCTGCTAAAGCTGTCAGATAACACGTACACACACTTGCACACACACATTTCTCTTTTTCTGGTTCATACACTCAGTAACACTTCCCATATTCTCTGTCTGACCTGATTATACACAAATACACATACTGCACAGCAGACTTCAGACAGACTTCACTCCTCTAAATATTTTACCCTCAAAGTTATTGTTTGGTTTGTTGCATACACATTTTGCCTGTTTTTTTTTTCCCATCCTCTGACTTATAGTCTGATAGTAATTTCAGCCTCTTTGCATTTTCTTAGGTCTCTGTTGAATTTCAAGACTTCAGTTTTTGATTGTGTTGCTCATGATGGATCACAGAAACTGGATTTAAACACAGCTCTTCTCAGACTTTGTTCATGCTGCTATGACGATATCACATTTGGTGATCATGAACATTTCCAAGAACTCTGGCTATTTATGTGTTAGTCACATTTTTATTTACATATTTGTCATTAGTAGCTCAGTAATGGCAAAGCGTCCAAAGAAGATTGATGAGTGGATCTGTTCAGCACAGAAAGAAACAGGAGACACAAGAGGTTTGGAAAAAAACACAGATCTGAGGAGCAGTGAAGGAGCTCAAAGCGCTCATTGGTACTACAGAGTACATTTAAACAGTGGTAATGTTAACCAGCCTGTTTCTCATTGTTTCAGTCCTGGTCTCTTAGCATGCAGCTGAAATACTGAATACTTGAACCTCTGGGTTGTTTGTTTTAAATAGTCTCCAATAAAGTTACAGCAAATCCTGCAGACAAGTGAACATGATCTGTGGCACCAATTCAACATGATGACACTGAAAACAAGAGAAGGTTCATAGAATTTTGTGGATTACAGCCAAAGGAAAACATGAGATAAATCTACATTTCCAGCTGTATTTGAACATCCATCCGTCTTTCACTTATCCAAGTTTAGGGTTCAGGGAGGCAGGAGTCTATTTCAGTGGCTTGCTGTCTTGTCAGAGGTCAGGAGGTACAGTGAGGAAGAGCCTGGACAGGTCACCAGTCTGTCGCAGTCACATTCGAACTTTCAAACTTTCCAAGTGTGACAAAATAAGAAACACGTACTAAATAAGTAGATACCCAGCTTTGGTCTTTTCTGATCATTTCTGGCAGCAGAGGTCGTTTTTATGAAAGCATTTGTCAAGTTTCTGCTGTGCCTATTTCTAACCAGATGAAATGTTCTGTTATTTTTCCTTTATGCGTCAGCACTGATTCTGAATACAAATGTATTAAAACTGCATTTGAACTATGAGAAAAAAGAATATCAGGAATGAATTTGTACCCAATGAACTACAAGGACTACAACATTCATTCAGATGAATTCTGGTGTTAGATATTTGTAGACTATGTTTCAAAAACATAGTTTAATATATTTTATAGAACCTGTAGGCTGTTGTCAGCTGGGCCAAAGACTTCCTGTTCAATGTACGAAGGAATTCAGTTATGCATTTAAAATTTTACACCTTTCAAAGCCTTAATTTGAAATACCGAAGGAAAACAGATGTTGTAAGGGATTTTTAAGGAGCATACAATTCTGCTGGTTCATAGAAAATTATAAATAACAATGCAAAAAAAAAAAATGCTTAGACCACAGAGAGAAGGGATGAACGCAGGTCTGGAGTCTGTGTGTGTGAGAGTTGAGAGGGACACAGCAGGAAGATCATGACAGCCTGGTGGACGAAGCTGGATGGAAATTAGCTCCTAAACATTGTCAGATCCTGCCTGGATCTATGCAGTGTTATGATGTAACAAAAAATGCTTAAAGTTATCCAGTAAATGTCAGTATATTAATTAAACCATGTGACAATGCCAATAACCCCTAAACCACTGACAAACAGGAAAGTTGGAAAAGTCACAAAGACGATTAGCACACACATATCTGACAACAAAAGACATAAAATAAAACTATCCTTTAAAAACCAACGCCACACACATTCTTACTGGCTGTCCTTTCTCATACCAAAAATATTTGATATATTTATATACAAATATCTGATTACATGGCTTATAAGTCTTATCTGCAAAGCTGACATATGATTGGTTCCTATAGTATTTTATAGTGAAAAGCTAGAAAAGCCAAATTGAGCAGATGTCATTAAAATGCATCGGCCTTTAGGTAAAGTGGATTCCTCCTGATCTGAACAGATAATAGAGAGTAGAAGAAGTGGATA